GCCCCGTACCTACCGTAGCTGGCGACGACCGGGAAGTGTGGGCCAGCGAATGTCTGGCGCTGTCCATCCCCCCGTGGATGAGATAGGCTCCCGCACCGGAGACGATGGGGCTCCCCCCGACATCCATGGTGATGCCCACCATGCTGTGGGAGGGGACCGCGGGCGGGGAGGAGCCTGCCACGGTCACCTGGGCTCCGCCCGAGGCCTCGAAGTAGGACGCCGCGCCGCTCGGGGTGTACATCGGTGGCTCGGGGTTGTAGGCGTAGGCCGTCCGCCTGCCAGAGAGAGAGAAGGGGTCTCCTCTGAGTCTTGAAGGACTCCAGCAAAACTTCCCGTAAAAGCGGAAGCCCCACGACAATGAGCATACGGGGTTCGTCAGGCATGACACGCCCACACAGCGCCAAGTTCAAAGCGATCGTCTCTGAAAGTATTCAGGACGTCAGCCTGACTCATCAAAACACTGGTCATTTGAAAACTCAAAGTGTATTCAGGGGTCCTACGAGGGAGCTCCTTTGTGGAGAGGGAACATTTCTGCATCTCATTGTGGTTCTGCAAATCTCAACGTGGGATAAAACTGCACAGAACTACACACACGCGCACGGGGACACACGCACACGCGCACGCGCACGCGCACACCAACGCGTAAAGGCTGCTGAGACTGAACAAGGCCCACAGGCTAGTCAGGGGTAACATCCCAGTGCCATTTGCCTGGTATTATCCCAAAGTCCCTGAGGGTGCCACCACCCGGGGAGGCTAGGTGAAGGGTACATGGGACCTTGTATACTGATTTTGCAACTTCCTGTAAATCTATGATTCTTTCCAAACAAAAAGTTAAAAAAAATAAAATTACATAATAAAAAATTTCTAAATCATACCAAAAATTCGTAATCCTAATATGCCTTTAGCATCTGGATCAATATGACCTCCTCCACATATAGCTGTACTACAGTCAAACCCAGGAAGTTGACACTGTACAACCGCCACACCTTGCTCGATGTCACGGATGTTCCACGCACTCGTTTGGGTCCATGTGTGGCTTGGGACCAGCAGAGCTGTGCTGCAGCTCACATAGCTCTGACCACAAGCACACCCTCGCACCCCCTCCCCCCGAACCCCCGAAGGGGACTTGCTGAAGTCAAATGAGCAAACGGATGTGTGTCTCGAGCACAAGGAGCTTCCTGGGAAATGTGTCATTTTCTGCTCCAAGCATCACATAGTTCTCAACCAGAAAACCCTAGAAACCCTTGACTAGTGGCAAATCAAGTTGCTGCGACATCATACAAAGCTGGAGGTTAACGAAGGCCAGGATGAGAAAGCAGAGGTGGAAACGGTTTGTGGATTGAGAAGCCTGACACTTCACACTTAGAAGTTGGATTAGAGTTTGTTTAAGGCTGAATTTTCTAGAAGTAAAAACTACAAAGGTGTGTGATTTCTGAAATCTCCACAGGGCCCTGAGGCCCGACTGCCATTGTCATGTTCCGACATATCATCCAGGGGCGAGGAGAGGGGTTTGTGCAAACACGTCCCCAAATGCAAAGATGGGGTGGGCGGCGGGAAGGTCCCGACATGGCCTGGGGCTGTCTGTAGGGGAGAGGAAGGCACGTACAAGGCTCCATTCGCGTAGATGGCGTCCCCGCCTTCCACGTACTGCACCTGGGGGGAGTACACGTGCTGCGCAGGCTGCACCTGAAACATCAGACAGTTCGTGTTACGCGCAGTTGTCCTCCGGGGGGGCGACTTCACACTATTCAAACTGAAGGCAACTGCTAGTGCCTTTTACGGACAGTGAGGACTATGTGACATCTTTCCCACCCACGGTTTGCGCTTCTGGAAAGAAACGAGGAGAAATGGTCCAAAAGGCCCCACAAGAACGGAACTGTCACTGCCCCGCTGACGAGGGGAGCGAGGCCGTGGCGTCTGTTCTGTGGTGGGAGGCGGCCTGCCGACAGCTCGGAGCAAGGCTGCGGAGCAGGGCTGGGAAGGTCCCTGCAGGCCACCGGCCACCGGGCAGAAGGGTCGGTCCTGTGGGGCAGCGAAGCCAGAGCTGTGCACAGAACCGCAGCCTCTGAGCGGGACATGCCCCGCCAAAGGTAGGGCGGAGGGTTCCAGCTGGTCACAATCTATCCCCCACCCCATGCTCCCTTCAGTGGTCCTGGTGCCCACCGCCCTGCAGAAGGGTGGGCGTCCTGGGAGCCACGCTGGGGAGAGGCTCCCATGGCCTGAGCGGTCGGAAGGAGCGATGGGCCTGGAGTAGGGTGTGGAGGGCGGGGCGAGGGAAGAGCCCAGCACAGCCGGCCCGATCCCCGTCAGGTCAGCACGTTGGCTGGTGACCCCGAGGGACGCTGGCCCAGTGGTGGAGGCCCAGAGCTCTGTATGGGGGGCTTCAGAGGCTCGCCGCAGAGGAACTCTTAGCCAATGCCTAATCCAACCTTGTTTTTGGGTGACAAAATCGAGGGCTGGGTCTCATCGTGACCCCCCTCTGGGCCTTTGTGAGAAGCTGAGTCCCACTTCCGAGGACACCCAGCACGGCGCACACTCGCACACGCTCCACCCCAGGATGAAAGCATGTCGCGAGCCCAGAGGTTCCCGCTCAGAGTGGGCTTTGCCCTGGGGGACTGGGCGAACCGCACAAGTCACCCCACAAGTCCGGGCTGCCCACAGAAGAGGTGGGGCAGGCCCAGACCCACAGAGGAGGGGAAGCTTCTGGAATCACATCGGTCTTGGTCTCCCCTCTCTCTAGGAGCCAAGACAGAGCTGCCGGTTCCCTCGTGGGCCCACTAGGAACTCTGCTCCTCCCCCCGATCCCACGCCTTACAGAGCGTGAATCAGCAAACTCTGGCCCATGGGCCCGATCTGGCCTGCCCATTTCTATAAAGTTTTATTGGCACACAGGCACGCCCCTTTCTCTACAACTATGGCTGCTTTTGGAGACAAGGCAGAGTTGAGAGGTGGTGCCAGAGACCGTCTGGCCCGCAAAGCCAAAACATTTGGCCTTTTCCAGGAAAGGGGTGCCCTCTGCTCCCCGAGACTCCACCGGCTCGGCTGATGGTCTGGGCTGCGCTGGGGAGCCCACGCTGTCAAGCTCTGTTCCCAGAGAATTTAATTGCACGAGAGGCGCTGCCTCAGTCATGGCACTCGTCTGTAGGTACAACACTTGCCTGCCGAAGGCTTTGCCTCCCAGGAGGTTCCATGTCCCTTCGGTCTAGAACCTTCGCTTTCCGTCTGCCTGTCTACCTCGCACCCAGCGTTCTACTGAGGGACGGGCTTGCGCCCCAAACACTGAATTTCTGGATGAATGAGAGACCATCTTGGCTTGCTGCAGAACTGTCTGCCGCGGAAGATTTTTAAAACTGAAACAGATTCCAAAGAACCCTCTAGTAAGGAACCGAAGACGTCAAAGAAAAAGGAACAGCAAAGACAGCAAAGAAAGCACAGTTCGGAAGGGCTCCGGATCGCTAAGTGCTAGCACGTTCTGTGTCACCTGTGCTGTGGTTACCTGCTGTGGCACCTGCTGGACTCTGGGGAGGGAGATTGGCTGCATCTGGGCCCCTTTGGGAGCCGAGCCCGCTGCCTGGACCAGCACCCTCTAAAAGGGAAGGAGAGAAGGACATTCAGACTTGTCAGAGGTTAGGCCTGGAAACAAACACAGATTACAAGCAGAGCTACTGCTGCCTGGTCCTCTGTCGCCGTACGGAAACTTAAGTGGGATTCTTAAGGAAGGGAGGGGAGGGCGTACCCACCACACACGCAGGCTGATACACGTGCATGCACACACGAACACACACGGGAGCACATGCACCTCCGCCCGCCCCCAGCGGCCTTGTCTCCTTGGGGTCTGTAGAAAGTGAGGTGACTCGGCTGTCCCTGGCACTGAGCCGAGAGCTGCGCGGTGAGGAGAACCCTCCGGATGGCTGGCCACACCACCTGCCTCTGGAAGAGTGCCAGCAGCACACCGTGGCTTCCGAGTCCACACTGGACTTGTCCCATGTGACACGCAAGGGTCAAATGAAGCCCGGAGTGGGGAAGTGATGTCTCAGGGCCTCAGAACAGTAAATTCTGGGACCGAGACTCAGTCTGGGTTCCCTGCACCCAGGCCCTGGCTCCTGGTCCCCACGGCTGTCTGGGCTCCTGGGTCGAGTCTTTGCTGTGAGGCTCTGTCATCGCGCAGAATACTAACTGGACACGCAAAACTATGAAGATATCAAATCAAACGCACCCGAGTCAAGAGGGGAATAGGAGTGTTTTGTTTCTGTAAAGCTGGGGCTTTGGAAGTCACTGACTTTGGTTCTGTGACTTCCCGACATGGACCCTAACGTCGGCAGCCACGGTAATTCTGCTTTGTCTTCTAAACGCAACTATAGAAAAGGAATTCGGCAGGGACCTGGTCCTCCATGAGCTCATGACCAAAGACAAATAAACATGGCGGTACAGAAATCAACACAACGTGTCCGTGCACACACTGCAGTGTCACTCGGCCATGAAAAGGAGGGAGGGCTGACACTCGCCGCAGCGTGGGTGGACCCTGAACACACGATGCTCCGGAGAGAAGCCGGACACGAAAGGCCCCGCAGCGTGTGACCCCATTTACGTGAAATGCCTGGAACAGGCACATCCACAGACAGGAAGTGGGTGAGCGGTCGGCAGGGGCTGGGGAGGGGGTGGGGGGTGACGGCTGACGAGGATGGGGCTTCTGCCTTGGGTAATGACAATGTCCTGGAACGAGACAGAGGGGGGAGGCTGCACAGCATTGGGAATGTACGAACGATGCCACTGATCCGTTCACTTCAAAATGATGAATTTTGTGTTCTGTGAATTTCACCTTAAATAAATAAATAAGAAAGAAGATTAAGGATTCACATTCACATGCTCTAAGGCCGAGCTATCCAATATGGTGGCTACTAGCTGTGTAGCCATGCAGCCATTTAAATTTCATTCGATTTAAATAAACTGTAAAATTCACTTCCTCGGGCTGACTGGCCACATTTCCAGCGCTCAGGGCCACGTGGGGCTGGTGGCGGGGGTTCTGCTGGGCGGCGCAGGGCCGAGGGGCAGGACCCGAGCCAGCCACCATTCCTCTTTCTGGCAAGACCAGGTTGGGAAGCCTGGGGCGCTCATTGCTCGGGGATCACAGTACCAAGGAAAGGGGGTTCCCCTGGACAGGCAGCGGGAAGGCTCAGCTTGGGGAGCAGATGGTGTGCCTGGGGGGCAAGAGGGAGCGGGCAGGGGGTGGGGACGTTGCCATCGAGGCTCGTGGGGGGGGTCCGGATGCATCGCTAGCAGGAACCTGAAAGGGACATGGTGGCCATGGCTAGGACCAATTTCACTCACCCCCAACCCCGTTCTAGTGACAACCAATTTGTTCTTTGTACCTATGAGCACTTTTTTTTTTAAGATTCCATATATGAGAGATCATACAACATCTGCCTTTCTCTGCCTCACTTAGCACAATGCCCTCGAGGTCCATTCATGTTGTTGCAAATGGCAGGCTTTCGTTCTTTTTCAAGGCCGAGTAATAGTCCTTTGCACATATGTATCAGCTTTTCCTTATCCATTCGTTTATCGACGGACACCGAGACCGGCTTGTTTCCATATCTCGGCTATTGTGAATAATGCTGCAGTGAACATGGGGGTGCAGATAGCTTTTCAAGTCGGTGTTTTCATTTTGAGAGAGACTTAATTTGAAAATTTTCTATCCACGAATTTGAAAGAATATAGCCATTCTAATGCTAGATTTAATTTCGAACCAAATGCTAAGAATTCTCACTTATCTTTCGCCTTCTCCATAAAGTCGTCCTCTGTTAGAGGGCCATTCCCAGGGTAGAAGAAATCTTCCCTTAAAAGGTGAGTCTAGACTACGCTGGATTCAGGCAGTGCTTTTTTTTAGGGTTGGGATCTCTAACTGCTTGGTGGGGGTTTTAGACACACAGCGAAAAGCAGATGTGATGGGGAGACCTTTGGGGCAGAGAAGGTGGCTCAGGAATGAAGAGGGCACGGCCGCCCTGGCGCATGGTCTTCGCGGGCTGCTCCGTTACCTGTGGGGACGCGGGCACTGGCGGGGCCGCGGGCACTGGCGAGGCCACGGGCGCCTGCCGGACACCGAGCCACGGAAGTTGGCCGGTCCGGTCCACCCTCTGGTCTCTGCATGCTCAGCCCTGAAGAGAGGCGGAGACAGGGCGAGCTGTGGGGGCTGCAGGTGACAGGGAGTTCCCTAAGGCCTCAAGGTTCAGAGGCAGGACCTGCTAGCTTGGGTAAGGAAGAGGTGACCAGTTTGCACAACTGTTCCAGGACAAGGGTGGGGGACAGAGGCTGCTCCTCCAGATATAACGCGAACAGCAGCTCTGCAGGAGTGCCTCAACGCGGACGAGCAGTGACTCCCCATTCCAGGCTGTTGAGACGGAACTATTTCCAAGGGCTCAGAGGACTGTTCCCTCGTTCACCCAGCCAGTCAGAAGCTCACCATGGATGCTCGCTGTTTAGGGAGTCGGCGCACGTTCTAGGCCAGGGTCTGCCCCTTGGCACTGACGTTCGGTCTGGGTCATTTCCTGGGCACTGTGGGGTGTGGAACAGCATCCCCGGCCCCCACCACACGATGCCAGGAGCACCCCCTCCCCAAGTCACGACAACCCAAAATGTCTTCAGACATGCCTAATGTCCCCTGGGGGGCAAAACTGCATCCCAGTTGAGACCCAATAGACCGGGGAGAAATAAAGTGGCACACAAGGAGAATAAAGAGCCATTTTCTCCTGGGCTGGATAAAAGTCCTCAGGGATTTTAGCCGCAAGTCAAACTGCCTCGTGCCTAGACGCATTCACCATGAAAAAGCATAAAAGTGTGTTTCTTTGTGACCAGATACAGAGATCTTTCACACAGGTAATTTAAAATTCTCTATAAAAAGATTCATTTAATATCAGAACAAAGTGGAGGACGGTACAAGACCCTTCTATGAAAATGAAGAAAATCAAACTCTTCACTTTTAAATAAACTACCCGCTACCTTAAGAATTTGAAAGGCAAAGAAATACGCAGACTGTGGAGAGAGGAGGTGGCCTTGTGGTCAGGCCCCTGTCTCTGTCCCTGTCCCGTCCTGGCCCTGGCTCCGAGCACGTCACCCCCACCACTGGAGTCTCCCAGCTGCGGCCTCGCCAGGAGGCCTGAATGGCACAGCACACACACCGTAGTAGGCAGGACACAGAGCTGGAACTCTCACATATGTTTCTCTAGCACCCCGAAAGTTTCCACCCACAAAAATGAATGAAAACATTTTTTTAAAAAAAAGCTTTTTTTTTTTTTAATGCAAAAAACCCCTGAAAATATTAAAATAACCTGCCTAAGGGAAGCAGAAAGCTTTGTGTGTGTTTGGACCTGAGTGTGTTTGTTCAATCCCAGCTTGCTGACCGTGACATTTCATGACTGTCCCCCGTCTCCTACCAAATGCCTCTGATTCCACGAGAGAGTTGAGAGAGAGCCTCTGCATGGATTTGGGGTCTCGGTCTGGCATTTTCGTTTCCCGTGAGCCTGACTCAGTCCTCACCACTAGATGTCCCCAGTGCCCCACGGTGACTGGCACCTCCTACTCCCTCTGCCTTTCGGAGGACACTGTGAATTTCCAACCCTGTTTCCTGGGTCTCCAGCTGTCTCTGCCTTACTGACAGACACACCTTTGGAATTTTCCGTTGGCAGTTGCTTAATCGAGGTCTCTCCTTTACCGTTTTCCCCAGCGTCTGAATCAGCATTTGCACACTATACACTGCTTTGTTCCCATCTGAACCCAAGAAGTAGGTAACCGCAGTGACCCTTGGAGGAGAGAGGACTCGGAGCGTTCGTGAAAAGAATCCACGAGCGCTAAAGTCAGGAAGCTGATGTCACCGAGGCCAGATCGCGTTCCACCGGCGGAGATAATCTTGCTCCAAAGTCCAAGCCTCACTGAAGCAAGGAGCGGGCTGCGCGCGCCGGGCGGATGGGGAGCCCGCGCCCGCTGACGGTGGCCGGGCCGCGCCTCGGCGCCGCGAGGGGTTTGCACGGCACG